GTGTGCTGATGCCTGGATCCCTCGGATGGTCCGACAGCATATTATTTGAGTGAATCAACATTGCAACTGAGAGTATTCTCAATGTAGCCAAAACAATCCGCAAAGTGTTGGCACGTATGCAATATGCTTTCGAGTTAGCGCCTGACATCACCGCCGAATCGAAAATACTCGTTATCTAGTAGATTGAAACAGAGTTTCGAGAGTGCGCTTTGCAAACTTGGAAATTTCCATCGACCGGTAGGGCAATTCGGAGATGTTCTAGACTAAAGTGAAAATTTAGTTGACAATACGAGCTGAACTACCAACTTGCTCCAGAGATAGCGTGATAAGTGGGGTGCATCAACAACGCGCCAATACGTCGTACCAACGCTTCACTGCCCCGTGCGATCACTACCGCAGTGACCTGCAGTGTACAATAGTTGATGATTCGGAAACTCATGTTACCGACTCGTTCTGGTGTCGTCTCCAACTAAGACACAACAACACACAACAACGCCCACAAAGATCAACTCCAGAAATTGAACAGCGTTACACGCATTAGGTACAGCCACATTCTCATCGCCAGTGACTTCAATCTACAAGGTTTGGAGTTAGTGGCATCCTCCAATGGACCGTACAGAGCAGACCTGTATGAATTTATTGGCAATATCCGCTTATGCAATCATGTCGCCTCGATCATTAGATTCAGGACAATAAACAAACCGTCCATGTTGGATCTTGTACACACCAATGAAGAGATCATGGTCGACAAGTTATTGATGGAAAGTCCATTAGGTCTCAGCGATCATGCAGTCATAAGATTTAATTATGCTTGCTATGCATAGTATCCATCTGAACACTCTAAATAAACTCATACAAGCACTCACTAACACGTCCTGAAAAAACTCGTCGAGGCATGCACTTGGAAGTTCTGGAACAACGATCACTCTGACAGGGTCTGCACGAAGTTCGTTGAAAGACTCAGGGACCTGATCAACAGAGCATCGGAAACCAAGACACTTCGTTTCACAAAAGTGTCCTCAATCCTTGGAAGCAGGCCTCGAAAAGGCATGGCAAAAAGGATGCAACAGAACGTGCTTACAAGGCGAACTCCGACTCAGGGACTTGGGGGAACTTTCTGACGCATTGCAACCAATGTACCGCACTTGTCCGTGAGAAAAAAGTAAGTTATAAACAGTGCATAGCCAAAAAGTCTCTGGCAAGCAACAAAGTACTACACAGACAAGTCCATAGCCTTGGTAAAGTAAAACAAAGCACTGCTCCACCTTGTACAACAGACGGCAGTGTCTAAAGCACCGAAAAAGCATCCAGTGCCATGCGGCTACAATAAGCCCAGATTTTCGAACTCGCAGCCTGTCCCTGTCACCTACCCTGATCCACTTTACCGATTCCAGGGTTTACACATATGATTTTCAACCCATCAACTGTGCTAGAAGTTGCTCATACTGCGCGATCACAGATCACTGGGAGACGACAATATTCACCCGAAGGAACTGAAGGCTGCGGCTACTAATCCAGCCGAGCCCGTGTCACAGTCCTTCCAAAGGTGTTTCGATGAACAGCAAGTCCTCACTATGTGGAAGTGTGGCATTATAACCCCAATCTTTAAAGGCTGTAGCCGTTCAGATCCTGCAAACTAGTGTCCAGTGACTCGCCTACCTGTGCTCGCGAAGGTGATGGAAGCGGTCATCGCTGAGGCTCTAGTGGACTACTTGGAAAAATGCAACATCTTGACACCGAAGAGGCACGGGGTCCGTCAAAACCGGCCATGCGCCACCAACCTACTGATGGCAGGAGGTAGTCGGACGGAAGTGGTCGATGATGGTGTCGAAATCGAAGTCATGTACCTGCATTCTCCAAAGCTTTCCACCGCCTGGATCACCGTATCCTACTCCATAGAGTACAGAACTATGGAATCGGGGATCCAGTCCTTGGTTAGATCGCCAACTTTCTTCAACAACGGAGGCCTCAATTGCGTGTTATGGGATCATTCTCCAACGCGGTTGAGGTGGAATATGGTGTTGCACAGGGCTCAGTGTTGGACCGCGTTTATTCCTGGTGTTTACTAACGACTTGGCAAGAATTACCGCATATACTTTCCTGCTTTTTGCCGATGTTGTAGGAAGGGAAGATCACGATTTCCTCCAAGTTGACCCGAAGTAGGTTCAGGAATGATCAAGGACAAACCGACGCCAGTTCAACACAGTTAAATGTAAGGTGATCCACTTGCGTCATCAGTCGGTGAGCGTTTACAAGCTTGGAGACCAACCCCTGTAGAAGTGCTATCGGGAGGGTGACCTGGGTGTACTGGCGCAGGACGATCTCGGATGCTCAAACTAAACAGAAGCGTCGACAACCGGTCTTCCTCGCAGAGCGTTCGCTCAGTTTGACTCCTCAATCTTACTACAAATGCTTTATGCCCAAGTGCAACGGCACATAGAATTTGCCATCCAGGCGTGGCACCTCGCTGCTCTCAAAACTCCTCAACAAAGGGCAATCAAGGACGTTAAGGGCCCATTCCATCTGCCCTACCAGTAGACTGAAGTGCGTAGGAATGAGCAGCCTCCGATATCGGCGCTTGCGGGGGGAACCCCTTACGGTTTACCAAATACTAAAAAAACTCAAACCACATAGTAAGCTCGTTGCTGAAGCTGAACCACAACACCAATGTCAGTTTCTGAAACTAACAATACAGTATAGCCGGCAGAAATTTTATAAAAATTTCTTCTCCCTTCAAGTGTATCAGCCGTGGAACGCTCTCCCAAGTTATACCGTCTCTGCGCCAAAGCAAATGACAATAAAAAACGACTTGATGAAGCATTATCCCATTCGCATTTCATTTTCTAACTTGTGTTAGCCAGCAGGCTACATAAGGCAACGGAAAAGCGTGTTTTCAAAATCCTAATCAGGGGGATTTACAGGTTTATCACGTGAACATCTCGGTTCTTTCAAGTACTTTTCGTAGAAAGTAGAAGCCACGATTAAACTTTGCACAATAATCTGCCTCGACGGGGAAACGAACCCCGGACCCACGGATTACCGGTTCGCTGCTCTACCACTGAGCTACCGAGGACTGACGATCAGGTGCGCAAGTTAATACATGACTTCTACTTGGTTTGCGACGTATTGCCAATAAGCTCACAGTATCTGTCCTGGTGTTGCAGATTGGCTCACCCACTCGTCACTTCTCAATGAACCGAAGTATCTGTCCTCCTGATGTTCAAAGGGCGATGGTAAATTACTGGTGGTTTTTGTGAATAGTGTAATTTTCGTAGAAAGTAGAAGCCACGATTAAACTTTGCACAATAATCTGCCTCGACGGGGAATCGAACCCCGGACCCACGGATTACCGGTCCGCTGCTCTACCACTGAGCTACCGAGGTCTGAGGATCAGGTGCGCAATTTGATACATGACTTCTGCTTGGTTCACGACGTATTGCCAATAAGCTCACGTCTGAATACAACCAATATGGTGAGTCCACCATGACACTACATTTTAGCACAATTTGATTCTTTCAATAATTTCAATCCCAGAGGACTTGTTAAGCATTAGTGCGAGGCCATCCTCATCTACATAGATTGGTGGATGACACATAGGTACTGACTTCTCAAATTGATCTCACCAGCTGGAGACTGAGTGCACGAAGACACACAACACAGCATACGGCGTGAGTCTCTGAATGCAACCGCTGAGCCAGTTGAAGAAGCAAAGCCGAAAGAATTCAGAAGAACGGGAGAACTTTTGCCAAATTGGCTCCAGAGCAAGATGAACGCTTCCTCCTATGGTGCTCCGTGATTAGTATGACCAACAGCGACATCCGCAGGTGAACGACTATTTGCCGGCGTCTTAACGCTGTGGTATCACCCTTGGCAATGGGCAGCTGACAGTGTCGTGAAAACAAACAGAATTCGGCCATCATGGCCCTAGGGTCAACATCATCCGTTCGAAAAATGTGCTTACAATTAGTCCGAAAATAACCCCCCGCAATCTTGACATTACTGGGAAGACAACATAGAGTACTGTACAGCCGATCGATATTGGGTGTTGGACGTCCGAAAATATTGCACTCAACAACTGCTACAAACTTACTTGATCTCATTGAGATGTCAGCCGGAACATCTATCTCTAATCTACCGAGTCGCGGCAGGAATGCTTATTGAGTTAAGACAACAAGTGTAATACTTGTCCGCGGTTTATTACCAGAAGAGAAAGCACGATGTATGCGAAAGCTAACATCGCGACGACAGCTAAAGAAGATGCCACATTTGACAGGTGCGATATCGCATGCACGTTGAAAAAGAAAGAGCTACCAAAACATGAATAGGTCACTTCGATGAGTGTAGAGAGAAGACTATTCATAAGGTAATCCACTATGAAATGTGTTTCCGTTTTCAGTTACTCAGAAAATGACCAAAAGCAGCCACGGAATACAGAGTCAGGGTAGACACACAATCTCTCCAACGTCCAGATGAGGAAAACGTCACACAGAGTTGGACAAAGATTCAGCCATAGGGTGAACTCGGGACGGGGAAAGAAGCAAAGCAGCCGGATACCGACTCATTTCACGGGTCACTGGGATTGTTCCTAAGAAACTTTGGAACGTTGGGTTCCACCCATCATTAGAGCAGAGAAAAGAAAATTTGAAAAAAGTCATTTCGATTGAGAACTTTTCAGTCGCAACGCAATAAGTACATGAAAATCAGACGCAATTGATAAGAGATTTGTCAAAACAGGTCCCACGTGGTCGGTAGACGGCCAAGAGCCTCTAAGGTAGGTTTAGAGTCACAGACAGTTGCTTCTAAATTCAAAAGGACAAGTCCCCTCGATCGATAACGATGCCTATCAGCGTGGGCGCTAAACACGCATGAGGACTCATCTGAGGGTGGACTTGAAGGCGTTTGCGATTCAAGCGACCAGCAAATAAAGCGACCATGTTGTGCGAATACCGTTGCTTGGTGATTGTTCCGGTTTGAGGTGACAGCATAGCGAGAAGGATTTCTCAGTTTGTGACCAATTTGAGTACAGCGTGTGCTGTTAGCTTCAGAGTATCAACACTACACAATGAAATGGTGTCTGGCCAGCAGCCATGATGTTGGTGAGAGCCAGTGTTATGAAGAATACCAGTGCAGTTGGGAAGATGAACCCCGATCCAATTTATTTGACTCTGATCCAAGAATGACCCCTGCGAGTGAATCCATGGGTGAGAAAGTTGGGCACTCAAGTTAATCTCACACTTATAATTTTGTGTGTATACTGGGAGATTTCTTATAACAGTTCAGTCTGTCCACTGAGTTGCCATTGTCATCAGTTGGGTCACTTAAATCAAACTAGGGAGTTGAACACATTGCTCCAAACAATCAGTGAGATTATGCAAGAAGTGGCGCAGCTGGAGTTGAACCAGGTGACGAACTTATCCTATTCATAGCAAAAAAGTGATGAATAAGTGGTTGTTAATCTGAGCGTCCGCTGCAACACCAATAATAATAATAATAAATAGTTGTTGTGGCCCCCCTGAAAATATTGCACACCGTGACGAGTTTCGATCTTGTTTTATCAGGTGGAGATAGCAAGCGTCGAAATCAAGATGATTGGAATGTTAGCCGAAACCTCTATCCCTCCGGCCACGGGGTCCAGACGAGCAACGCTTGTCACAACGGTTAATAACTGACTGGAGGGCAATTTTGCAGCACTTCCTACCTGCTCTCTCTATCTGATGAGCTTAAATGGACTCGAAAACAGCCATGGAGTGAAGTGTTCTCGGGCGCTTAACACACAACACCTATACGACTCAGTAGTTGCGGTCCCAGTGATTAAATAGACCAAGGTTTACCTCAATGGGGATCAACATCCATTTCGAGACTGCGCGTCCCAATCCATTCACACAACGCATGCTTCAAAATGGCCCTCCATTAATAATAATAATAATAATAATAATAATAATAATAATAGATCTTAATGTGAGGGCAACTGTGCCCGTAGCTGCCCCAGATAATTTCTACAAACATGATCACGCACTTGCATGGATACTACGTCTGTGGGTATTTTTGTTTATGCTTGTTCTTGTTGCAGCACGTGATTCACCAAACTAGGATTTAGTGGGCGACTAGAAGGCAGAGGTTAGAGCCGAAACCGTTGGCGCTTTGTGTATGCTCTGCATGCTAACCCAATAGGAGAATTATTATGAGACTTAATTCTGGTGTTTGTGGGAATTACACCCTAGGCGTCATCACAGAAATGCTGCCAGTTGGTACGTGTTAGCGGCCCACCGATCAACGGGTGATTTCCCGCTGGAAGACTTCAGTACGATGTCTCATACATACGTGTTATTCTAGGGACGTAGTGAGGGTGGGGATCCACTTCGAAAGCCCTTCCCAAACTGCCATAGGGAGGATATTTTTCACCCCTCTCGTAACAATTCAGCAAGCAAATTTTCCCATGAAAGCATTGTCATGAGGCTGCTCACGTCGAGGTAACCTCTTATTTTGTCACGAAATGCTGCTGTATCCGGATAGATAGCCGAACAACCTCCCCGCGTTGCAAGTTGGACGGCTCAGGAATCTCCCGTTCCGGCCAACTGTTCGGCGGCAATGTTTCAGGACGTGGTGGGTCTTCGCCTGGCAAGCGTTATCCCTATGAAAGGTCCCAAATGACTACCTAACAACACTGCGATGTGCCTCGGAGGCATCATACACCGAAAGGTGCATGAACCGAGAGATCAGTCACCGGTTCCCGTCGGGTGTGAATCCCTTATTTCACTCTACTGCCTTGGGGGATAGACCCTTTGGCGAAATGCTAAGACAACCTACATATTTCAGCCAAACCAACCAGTTAGTGTCTTGCCTACTGACAAAACAGGGACTCGCGCAATTTCGCTCACTCTCTCGCTGCTGTATCAGCATACGACGAGAGTGACTGATAGTCCATTCCACAGAGTGTCATATATCTGATTAGTGATAAATCTGGAGGGAAGTTTGAAATAGCCATCATATAACCATTGTGAAAGAGTTTCCGATTAGAAATCGGTTGAACTTCTAATGCAACCTGCATTGCAATGGAGGACGAGACGTGCTATTTTGCAGTTACCTTGTAAATTATAACTTGGCTTGCTGAACAACCAACCAGCCAGCCAGCCGGGTAGTTTGGGTTTACTCCGATCCTGCGAAATGTTCGGCAGTAGTGTTCCAAGACGTTGTAGGCCTTCGCATAGCAACTATTCTCTATAGAGAGCCAAAAGGTCTAGTTAACAACTGCGACGTGGCGCATGTGAATCGCCACTACATAAAGAAACTGCCCCTTGCTTCACTCCGATGGAACAGTGTATCCAGCAACATGATGCTGAAATTGTGGAGAGCATTGGGCCCCTGTTTGTCAATCGAGCAAACGAAAGCCGTATTAAAAGAGCAATGAGTCACCGGTTCAAAATGGACAGGATTCTCTGAATTCGCCCGGCTGCTTTATGAGTAGGCAGTCTATTTAGCCAAAGGCTCGGGGTGGTGTCCCAGGTTGGCCAACCGTGGACGTCTGTGTTGTGTTCAATTTTCTTTTTATGACAACTGTACCCACTTTTGATTTCCATGGTTTTGGTGGTTCTTTGTCTATTCTTAGACTGATACATATGGGTGGATCGGCGTGCATTGAGCGACCTGATCATGAAGGCAGTTGACGAGGTGCAAGAGAAAAACCTCATGTATTCGGAGAAGAAGCGACCCAGTGAGCCATGAGCGAGGCCACTCAGAGCCAACACCAAAGCGACAACGGGTCCTGAGGAGACCGTAGACAGAACCGGCGCAGTGTTTGTAGATACGCTGCATTCGATTTACAAACCGCATGCTTATACGCTGGGTCTCTATATTTCAGGTGATGGGTTTGCAATATTGTCTCAACGTTACCTACGTGAACTAGCTTCGATGAATTTCACACGTCGCTCAAGTTAACTGCAATTAAAATGGATAAAATATTCGGGTTTCTGGCATTTGCCTAAAATATATTTGCTGACGTCTTGAAACTATCGCTGATATTCTGGCAACCAAATAATTTTCTATGTTCATTTACAAAAGAGCTATGTCAGCATATCTGTATGAATTATTCGCTTTGTTTTATTTCATCTTGGCGTTCCAAGTGATTGGATATTGTTTGACATTCCAGGTGTGGCTGCGTTTGATGTGCATGTTGACAAGGTACCTACCTGTCTATTACCCACTAACTCGTCCATACTGGCTCCAGGAGACAGTTGGTCGTTGCTGGAGGGAACGGGGTGCACAGTCCTTGTGGCCGTGTTAGGATCCAAGAGTGGTTTCATGCAACCGGTGTGGAGCAGACTACGGTCCAGCCATCGCCTTGACTGCGCTTGATTCCCCAAAACAGCGTGCTTGTGTTTGCCTGTGAAGGAGTGTGGGCCGGCTCCGTTGATGAAACGTGGCTCCCATCCACATGCCTCCCGGTCTTATTCCTTGGGGTTTACACTGGATATGGGGTGTGTGGATGGAGCTGTGGGTGGTGCAGCGCAAGCCACCCATAATCCCACTGTAGGCGCAGGCGTCCTGTGGCTGGACACAGTTACAGACAAATCCGAAACTGGATGCTGCCAACCATTATATATATATATATATATATATATATATATATATATATATATATATATATATATATATATATATATATATATATATATATATATATATATATATATATATATATATAAAATGGTCTGCCGCTGATGCCGCGCTAATTTAGGCAATCTGTTCCCGGTGGGGCCCATGGATGCGCAATAATGAGGTGCCAGTGGTAGGAAACAACCGTCTAGTGCTTTGACGAACATATCAGGGATGGATGCGAGCTGTGCGGTTGAGAGTAAACTGCGACGAATAAGTCTGTCGTTGAGTCAGACTGTAAGGTTCATGAGAGTATACTTTAATATTCGTAAGCAAATGAATTCCAGTCTGGAATTGGTGATATAGCTCCCGAAAGAATAGGGTGAAATTCCTAATGGACAATTTCTGTAAGTACTGATGAGGATTGCAAATAGTTCAAATCTGGAGAGGATGTGACGGATTTTGTTAAAATACTAGACACAGCGCAGCCGCACAGTCAGTTGCGCTCTTGCAATCGATCCGCTGCATCAATCAAGCTGCTAATAGTCCATCACGGAGAGTTTGGCGCAGTTATTTTTAAACTATACTTCATTTGCGTCCCATTGCATTATCGTTATTCTTCTTTTAACGACGAGATTCGTGGCGATCGGATTCACCACCATGATGTACCCGGAGTACAGTTGTTTAACTGAACTGAATCAATTCAGTCCAAAATTGTATGGCACGCGTGACCTGAAAGGTGGCCCGCACGGAAGATGGTATACCGGAATCCGAGTAGACATTTGTAGAGGTGTTCATTGTTTGATCCAATTGAATCTTCCGGGATCGCATAGTCGTGATATGTGATATTCGACTTCTTCTGATAGAATTTCACCATTTGTGTCGTGCTATGATATAAGGCAATGCAAGTCTCTTTAAATGAGTAAGAGGGTGAGCAGAATTTTAGATCATCGGAGACTACAAACAGCTCTGATATTGTCGGCCGCGTTAGTTTAGCCGACACACAAAAGTCGTTGACATAAGGCAGGAACAGAAAGGGAAGAAAGAACGAAACTTTTGGTAAGTCACTTGGAATCACACAGTTAAAGACTGACGATAACCACTCGAACATGACGATAAGCAACGTAGCAGTGGTTCACGTGTTTCTAAAGATTCCATCTTTGTTCGTCGCAATCAGCCGACAATTCAGATATGTCGACCAGCTGTCCGGAAAAGCACCAGACGGCCGTTTCGCCCGATTGGGGCTCATCAGTGGTGCGCATCCTTCGGTCCTCTGCGGAGGATCGAATCCATGACTGCTAGTGGCTCTTGCCAACTAGCGCGCAGCTTATGCAACTGCGCCATGGAGGACGGTATCTGACTATCATAAATTGTTAGCTAAATGCGATATAGCCCGACGCATCCTCCACTGCCATGCAGATGACAGCGGTCGGCCTTCCGGCGTCAGGACTTCCCGGTTACGGCAGCTATGAATCGACATAGCATTTTGTGGAATCCGTAAGGGCGAATTGGTATTACTTATGAATGGAAGGATTTTGGTGAGTATTTTGTTCGTCGCAATCAGCCGACAATTCAGATATGTCGACCAGCT